TCGGGGTCATTTGGGGCTGCTACTCCACCAACACCCAGTGTTTCCGGAAACGTGTAGACTGCTACCAAAGCATACCTTACCTCATCAAGCACTTCATCCCTGCCACCCCTGTGAGGCCCCATCAAGTCCAAGCTCAGGACAAATGACTCAGCAGCAGGTTGACGTCTATGGGGTCTAGCTCTCAAACGTCCCTCTAGGCAATGTCGACAGTCGGCTCGAAAAGGGACGTGGCCACCTGCAACATGGTCTGCAAAGGAAGTGCGAACTTTACGCGGAGCCAATGCCCGCAACGCCTCAGGATCAGCCTGATAACGTTTCCACACATCCCCCACATTCTCAATTGCTTCCCTTACAGCAGCCTTCAACCCAGGAGCCCACGCAGCCCACGAGCTACTATCATCTGCACCGCCATACACCGGAAAGCAAGTCATGTCCCGAATGTCACGTGCCCATTGTGGCCAATAGAGCCCATGCGCTGAAATAGTGGTGGGTTTGATCCTACAATGACCTAAAGGGCCTTGATTGATGTGAAACAACCGTACTTGCAAGAATTCCTGTACAGTCTGCCATTCGGGGGTTACCCATAGGGACGGTAGGTCTGAAGCAGCAGGACCCAGGACTGACACAGGATCGCTGGGGTTCTCCACTAAGCTAAACAGTGGCGGTGAATCCTGATACCGAAGCCGCAAACCTGTGGAAGCCACTACCTTCAACAGCAAGGTGCGCATAAGGAGGCAATCATCCTCAAACATCTTGGCCTGTTCGCGAGAATCCGCGGTGCCCAAGCCCCATCTTCCCTCCCCAACCCTGCTGCGAATGACTGGTGGACCCGGGGGTCGGTTCCTGAGCATGCTGCGCGTGCGACAAGGCAGACCGGACAACACGCCCTTGAACTTGCCTAAGGCAGCTAGCTTCATCAAATACGACATGGTTTGAGGACTGTTGAGGTTTTCTTTGCAGTCAACGTCCAACACATACATGCCGTGGCGCGCTGCAGTAGCCTGGAACTCCCCACGACAGCTGCCACAACACAAGTGCAAAAGCACTCCACGCGATCTCTCAATGGAGCGGCGTTTCCGACGATTCCAGCACAAAGCTTCTGGAGTGTGTGCAATGTGTGTTGAGACCTCTTTCTTGATCCTATCGGGGGTTTCGGGGAACATAGCATTCATGAGAGCCTCCGTCCAAGCGGTAGTCACCTCAGCATCGCCGTCCCAAAGCGCCCTACACAGCCCTTCTGCCACATCATGAGCACTCTTCCCAGTCATCTTTTGTTGCACAAGGGCCACCCGCTCATCCTGCCTCCTGGAGCGCTCGCCCATCCGTTCCTCCCAGAGCTCAATCCTTCGTATGAGGTCTAGAGCGACATGACGATTTACACGGGGGCACCCTTCGACTATCATGACAGGCACCCGTCCCAGCTCAGGATGTACTACCGTGCAGGTTTTGTTTCGCCATGCGATGTGAAAACCCATGCGGACTAACTTGGCCATCGCCACTATTGGTTCTGAAGTGGACGCCCCAAGAAGTGTGCCCCAACGATTCACTCCCATTGTGGTCTCCCCTTCAGCAAGAGCAACCGTCCTCCAACCGACAACTTCATCTGGGGATTCTTGAGGGCGCACACATGCTGATGCTCCTGAGTCTAGGAGTCCTAGCTGCTCACCTGCAACAGGCTTTTGACACGCTTGTCCACTCAACATAGGGTACAGGCTGAGAGCCTTCGCCGCAGCGGGCGCTGATGCTGTCAACTGCTTGATGGCTGCCGTTACCTCCTTAAACATGTTCTGGCGTGCTTCTTCACTGATGTCGGAGCCTGCCCGATCTGAGGCCTGAGTGGCTGCAGCAGTTTCCACTGCAGACGTGGTACTCGCTGCAGGCTTACCGGCATCACCCTTTTTAGCACCCTTTTTTGTTTTTCCTTTTGACTTGTTGGCGTCTCCTTGATCGGCGGTCTGCTGAGGGTAGGGGCACGCTTCCCTGAAATGCTCTGTTGAAGAACAGTTGAAGCAACGTTTATCCCCTTTTCCAAGCACCGAATGCGCAAACGTGCATGACCTGCCATAATGACACCCTCCCGTTGACAGCCAGTGTTTGCACTTAGACTTGCCAGTCTGACCCTTGCCCTTTTGGGAGTCCTGGGGAGTGTCAAGTTTAGCAGCCTTTGGGTTTTTGGCGGCGCCACTGTCAAGGGCTTCTAGTTCAGCTTGGAGCATGCTTGCCAAATCGCACACTTTCGGTAAGGTTGGAACCACATCAATGTTTTGGGAATACCGAAATGAAGAAAGTCTGAAGACGACTTCCGTGTGCCTGGCTAGCGCCTTTGCAGTCAAGCCGTCCAGCCCTGCCAGCAATAAGGTTGGGTCAGGGATGCTAACCTCGAGTTGTTCGGCACGCCGGCGCCAACGGCTCCACCTTTTGATCTGCTTCAGGGCATTGGGAACATCTGAGGCACTTTCCGGGCTAGTAAGAAATCTCAACAATGCAGAGCGTTCCTTAAGACCCCCTGGTTGATACGTGCAGTAAACCAGAGCCACTGCGTCAATGCACGTCATCTTCTGAGTGGACACCAGTTCATCCTTCAACGCGTTTGGAACCGCGCGAAGAATCAATTGCAAGCCACGTTGCTCAACCCTAGCGAACTTGGTACCCTCAAAACGAGCAGGGGATTCAGGTCTCATTGACAACCTGGCTACCGGAGTGGCGCGAAGCCAGGCTTGATAGTAATCCGTTGCTGCCTGAAGGACCTGGTCCCACCACTGTACGCTAGTGGCACTCAAGTCGCGCATGGTCGGTCCTGATAGTGTGAGCCAATCTCCTGCCAACAATGGAGAGAGGTCCTTATCCGCTTCATTGATCACCAGTTTTGGCAGCTCCGCCAATGAGGTTTTCACCTCTTCTGCTCTGACCTCCCCATCCCCGTACGACGTGAGGGCCTTTTTCATGCTGTCAAAGAACCATTCAAGACCCTTGGATACCTGATCACCGCTCCTGGAGCCCTGATTCGCAGGCACATCGCCACTGGACCCAAGACCCTGAATGAGAGGATCGCCGCCACTACTCTTGTACTCCGGACCTGGCTGAGCGCTACCGCTACACTCCTGACCCATTCGAATTTCCTCCGAAAGTCCTGGAGGTGCTGTGAGCGGACTACTTCCCCACAACGCCCCACCTGGTGCTGGCCAAGGATAAGGCACCTGCTTCAGGACTGTCCCCTGTCCTTGCGCATCCGGGATGGGAGAATGAGGCGGGCCTCCAGGTGGTGGTTTGATTTCAGTTCCACCTGGTGACAGCGGGTACACAATCCTGGGCTTACAGGGGTTCACGAAAGACTCAGGCGAATTCCTAGCAGGAGCCTCAAACACAGGAGCCCTTGCTGGCACAGGATCTGAGATGGTGGCTCTCAGTGCCCTAGATCCCTTTATGTCTTGCGCCCTGCCCTCCGACGTGGCCCTCTTCTTAGCCGGGCTCGCACTCCTAGACCGCACGAGTTTGCTCCCAGAGTCAGTGGCCTCAAAAGGAGAGTGAGCTCTTCCGTCAAAGATGTTCTGACTTCCAGGCTGCACGATTGTGCTGGGCTTACGAGTGCTTAGGGGTTGCAACTGCAATCCATCCGACGTTAGACGCCAGGCGTGTGGAACTCCAGCAACCTCCACCACCCCCGTTTGTTCCCCAAGGCCGGAGCCCTGATCAGCGTGCCCAGAAACATTTGACGGATCTGCTGAGGCCTCATCTCTACCGTGGCTCCTTGATGTTTCCACGGCCTTCCTACCACGAGCTACTGAGGCAGAGGACCCTTCACCACGCCGCGCTGCCGTTGTTCCATGATGGCCACCATCACCCTGCGAAGCACTAATTCTTACACTGGCAGCGAAGTTTCCAGCAAGAGCACGCGCATCTGCTTCAGTTGAGGCCTGTTGGGCAACCCTGGCTCGCTCATCAAGACGGCTCTGTCTAGCCTCCATGGCCTCCAACCGATCAAAGAGCTGCGTGAACAAGGGGGCCATCTGCGCTTGCACGATGTTGCTTACCTGTTGCTGCACCAACTGGCCCACGTTTGCTTGCAAAAGAGACACCTCAACCGGAATCCCCCCAGACGTGACCGGAGCGGGCGCTGGATTGGTCACACGACCTCCGGACCCCCCAGCTGCCAACTGGGGCACGCGATCATCCCGGTCCACATCCATGGCGTTGGTGGGCAGCAAGCTCTGATCGTTCCGCCGATCACACGGTCCACTTTCTACCCCCCGAGGCAACATCCTGTTGTAGTCCGGCACCAGCTCCTCATCATCAATCTCCCAGTGTGCTCCCTTTTCCATGCGAGACAACTCACTGTGCCCTGGAGACTGTGGTAAAAGTCTGGCTACCGGAGCGGGAGCTTGGCGTTCTTGTAGGGGCCTACGGTCAACTTGCTCATCCTCCATGGCGGGATCTGATGGTGCCTGCGTCGGCAGTCCCTGGTCATACTCCGGCTCCTTAGGGTCGTCACTCACTCCCCCAAGCAGCATGGGATCAATAGCAGAAACCTCGGACTCCTCACCCTCCATCGCACGATTGACCGACTCAGCCCAACTTGCGGAAGCCATGGCAGTGGGTTCGAGCTTTGGGCTCATAACCCTTGTGGGTTAGAGCTCGGCTCAAGCACTCACGGACGGTTTTCAGACCCAAGCAGCAAAGAAAGCTCTCGGTGTTTGACTTCTTCTTTTGAAGCTTATTTGGAAAAGCGTGTGATGTTGACTCTGTACACTTAAATGTTTTGTCATCTCACATGTGCTGTGTCTGGGCCTAAAGCCGCAGAACAACATAGATGCATGCCAAGACCCGATGACCCGATGCTGGCGAGATACCTGACGCCCAGGGGCTTTCGCTCTAATAATCCCCATATTGCCTTTATAAAGATCTAAAACTCTTCTTCGTTTTTTGCTTTATATAGAATAAAACTCTTCACTTTTGTTGTTATTCTTTTTTTGGGGGGGGGGGTTCTTAAGCAAATAGTAGTCCTGTAGCTGCACGGAGAGCTCGAAGGACGGATCATCGGCCTGGGCCCGCGGCTGCTGCAGTTGGATTCCGGCTGGGTTTAGGGTTTAGGGTTTAGGGTTTAGGGTTTAGGGTTTGGGGTTAGGGTTTAGGGTTTAGGGTTTAGGGTTTCGGGTTTGGGGTTTGGGTTTAGGGTTTAGGGTTTAGGGTTTAGGGTTTAGGGTTTAGGGTTTAGGGTTTAGGGTTTAGGGTTTAGGGTTTAGGGTTTAGGGTTTAGGAGAAGCAACATGCCCCTTACCAAAAAAAACAACAATCCCCTTAAAGCCGTCAACCCGAAACCCCTGATTTGAGGGTTTCGGGTTTTCGGCATTAGAGGCTTGGGGATTTAGGGGGTTGGGGTGTAGGGTTTAGGGTTTAGGGGTTTAAGGAATCAAGGCTTGGGGGTTTAGCGGTTTAGGGATTTAGCGTTTCAGCGGCTGAGAGGTTGAGGGGTTGAGGGCGTTGAGGGTGTGTCTAAGAACTATTCAACATACTCCTGGCGCATACCCTGAAAGGAAATGAAGGGGTATGGCAAAATGTTCTCAGCTATTGTCAGGGGGCATGGGTTTGGGGTTAGGTTTTAAGGTTTCGCGCAGAAGGCTGAGGGTTGAGCGTTTCGGGTTCCGGGTGTGGGTTTAAGGCTTCGAACTTAGGTTTCGGGTTAAGGGTTAAGGGTTTCGGGTGTAGGGTACAGGGGTGCAGGGTTTAGGATTTCATGCTGAGGGCTTAGGATTTAGGGTTTACGGTTTAAAGATTGGGGTTCAGGACTTAAAGCTTAGGGCTCTGGCACGCAAACAGGCACGCGCGTCCCCAGCACAGGTTGCGACACCAGGCCTGTTCCCATCATCTGCACAAGGGAGGCCACAGTAGTGCACACATCGCCGATCACGCAACAAGCACGTGTGATGCACACTGCACAAACACTAACAGAGCAGCACGCCTGTGAAGCATGCTCCGCCTGATCGAGCACTTGAACTTCCCCCGAGTACGCCAAGATCGCCAACCATGTTGCCGGCAGCGTCGGCTGTGCAAGTGAGTACATACAATAGCTTGCGCGACCTCGCCCGCACCTTAATCACCGCATCTTGGCCTCCAAAGCTTATCGCATGAGCCGCGGCATTTTGAATTACTCTTAGAGTTTAGGGTCCAGAGCAGCTGGGTTTATAAGGGGCCCAGCCACGCGCTGAGGGTTTGGCTTTGAGGGAGCTGAGCTGAGGGTTTTAAGGACCGTAGCCATAAACCTGCTGTGGCAGGTTGATGAGTGGTCCGGCCTCTCGTGGGGGCCTCAAGAGGACTTGACGCTTGGAGCAAAAGCCCAAAACCCTTAAAAAAGACCCAAGCCGC